GTTAAGAGAAGTTAATCGATTTAAGAAAACTAAGGTTAGACGTTGTGTACTAACAACGTCAGAAAATGAAGCTGCCCTGATTGAAGTTATAGAAGATAATCCTCACGTGAGTAATCCAGCCCCGTAGCTACGGGGGCGCAAGATGGGGCTGAGCCCCCCCTAGCAGTTGTGGTTGCCCCCCCTGGAAGACTTACACATTAAAAATTTCAATTTAGTAATAAAATTTCAATATAATGCCGATTGCTGAAGCATATTTACTAGCCCCACCCACCCGCCCTTTATTTTCTTACAGGGTATATTATTATTTGGCAATATCACCCTAACGTTAATGTTGACCGTATAAAAAAAGCAACTGTCATGTCACATTTTATTCGATAGCCTACTACTAAACATGCAAAAAATAAATATTACGAATGAAGAGGTACGTGCTCGTAGGAGCTTTAATGAACTTTAGGAAATACAACGCAAAAATATAGAATACAAAAAAACGACAGCTCATTACTTTTTTTTACAATTATTCATGTGTTCTTGTTCGTTGTCATGGCAAACCTACAGGGTCGCCCTTTTCTAATATCTAACACTTCCTCTCGACCCGGGGTTGTGCTAGATATAGCCGCTCCGTGAAGGAACCATACTTTATACTTGCTAGACCCTTGGTGAAGATGTCACCAATCATATCTTCCGAAGGGACATGTTGTATAGTTAATGAGTCATTCTTCACCACTTCTCTGATGTAGTGATGTCTAAGGTCGATGTGCTTACTCCTCGCATGATAGACCGGATATTGAGCCAGTCTCAATGCGCCTTGGTTGTCACTGAATAGCACCATTTGTGACAACTGTGCGAACCCTAACTCCAGCAGGAACTTCTGGATGAAAGTGGCTTCCTTGGCTGCTTCTGTTAATGCCATGTATTCAGCCTCTGTAGATGATAATGCCACAGTTTTTTGTTTCCTGGAGTCCCACGGAATGGGTCCCTCTGCTAACATGAAGACGTATCCAGGATACGATCGTCTGTCAATAGCACAATTTGCCCAGTCGGCATCTGCGTAGCCTCTTACAGGATCGGGGCAGTTTGTATACACAAGACCATAGTTCAGAGTACCCCTCGGATATCGAAGCACTCGCCTCGCTGCTGTCCAATGGACCTTGCCATGACAGTTATTGAACTGTCCCAGGAACTCCCTGCGTGACAGATGTCAGGTCTAGTCGTGATGGCCAAATATGTCAAGCCACCTATCAATTCGCGATACGGGAAATTCTTCACTTCTTCAGCGGTCGTTGGTTTGACGAGCTTTGTCTGCGGCTCCATGGGAGTTGATATCGGGTTGCAATTCTCCATGCCGAAATGTTTGTGGAGGTCTAAGATGTAGCCTCTTTGGTGCATAGTTATCTTTGACTTCTCAACTTCAAACTCGACTCCCAAACAATAGCCAACATTACCGAGTTTCTTCACTTCGAACTCCTTGCACAATTTTTCTCGAAATTGCTTGATTCTGTTAGAATCTCTTGACATTATCAGTATGTCATCGACATAAATAACAACCATCGTTGCATCTTCCCCTCGTCCAACACAATATACGCACGGATCGGCGTTGGTTGGAATCGCACCAAGTTTTCGCAATACCTTGTCCAACATCATATGCCAGCTTCTATCGGACTGGCGTAGGTCATACAGGGACTTTTGTATGTGACAAATTTGCTTGCCGTCCCTAAAGTCTTCCAACATTCTTGCGGCTTTCTCGCCGACTACACTTGATCGGCCTCGTTTCTGTATGATAGACTCAAGAATATTAGCTAGATTGGTTGGAGGTCTCATGAAGACCTTCTCCTCGAGGGTACCATTCAGGTAAGCATTCGCTACATCGAGCTGTTCAATTTTCATGTCGTGAATTGCTGCCAAGGATACGAGCAGACGTATAGAGCTCATTCTAGCTGCAGGAGCAAACCTCTCATTAAAATGTACACCTGGCTTCTGGTTAAAACCTTGTGCCACTAATCTGGCTTTTCTTTTATCTAGCATACCATTAGATTTGTATTTATTTCTCAAAATTATGCGACTCCCGATGATCTCTTCTCGATTGGGGTACTGTACCATCTTCCAAGTATCATTTTTAACAATGCTTTCTACTTCTTGGCAGATAGCTTCAAACCATTCGTTCGCATCGGCACCGTTCAACGCTTGATCTAATGGAATTTCGGAAAGAAAACCAAATACTGGTGCTTCGCTTGCCAACGTGGTTTCTTCGGTTCTGAGGTTGTATCGTTTTCGAGGTCTTCCCTTCAAGCCAATTCTTTCGATTCGCGGACGGCCTGGACCACGTCTAGTTGATGCCGCTTCTTCTTGATCGAAATGTTCATTCTCAGAACCCTCTTCTTCACTTGCTGCTCTCTGGTCGCTATCTTGGATTTCTTGTCGATTGTCTTCGATCATAGGATCTATGGGAACGTCGATCGTGGAAGTTTGAGGTATGACGTCTCCTTCTTCCAGATCTTGAAGAACGAGATCTTCACAGTCATCATTCAACTTTAAATCTATTTTCTCTATAAATTCTACGTCTCGAGCTATGTATACTCTTCCCTCTTCTGGGAACTATACTCTAAATCCCTTGATTTCTTCTGAATATCCGACGAAAACGCCTTCCTTACATCTTGGTCGGAACTTATCTTGATTTGGCTTCTTCTAATGACATAAAACACGACAACCAAAAGTCTTAAAATAGCTAACGTTGGGCTTCTTGCCCGTCCACAACTCAAAAGGAGTCAAGAGGTACGTGCTCGTAGAAGCTTTAATGAACTTTAGGAAATACAAGGCAAAAATACAGAATACAAAAAAACTACAGCTCATTACTTTTTTTACAATTATTCATGTGTTCTTGTTTGTTGTCATGACAAACCTACAGGGTCGCCCTTTTCTAATATCTAAGAATAAACTCAAAGAAATTGGTTGTTACCTAGTGTTTTTGGCCACTGCACAAATTTTTGGATGCAGTACAGCTGTTTGTGAAAAATGTAAAAACTGAGAAAAAATAAAGTAGTATTATCAAAATATGTATATATATTTACATGAAGCCCCCTCTGTCGACAAACTTCCCCCCCCCCCCCCTGAATAAGTTTTCTAGCTGCGGGGCTGGAGTAATAGTCAGATCGCAAGATAAATGCAGATTAGTCAGAGTTCGGTTTTTAACATCCTGAGGGCAAATCGATGAAAATGAGGTTCATTTGTGCGAAAGGGTCATGGGTCATGGTCTCATGGTGTTCTACAAATTTTCATATAACACCGGAGATTCTAATTAGAGTACTTACGTAAAAATTTTGAACGCAAGATAGCGTGTGAACAAAGATAAAGCGGGCAGTTTGAACACTAATTGTAGGATGCCTATTTATTTATTTTATTTTCCTTATATTCGTTTGAGGTTTGAATAAACTACGTTCTATTTTGTTTGAATTTTGCCATTATTAGTTGCTCGACGTCTTTGTTGTCATTGATGACATAGGTGATTTTTATGTTGTTGCATTTACTATGATCGCTAATTTTAAAAGATTACTAGATTGATCAAAGCTGCTTATGGTGTGTACAATGTGTTGCCTACACGAAAGTATTCAGGCGTGTATAGATAAAATAATCACCTGTATTATATTTTTGTGGACTCAAATTATCCAAATACAAACCACCCTACGAAGAATAAGAACCCATCTGCAGCTTGACAATTTTATAGCATCAGTGTCCGTGACAATCTCATCATCAGAATATTATTGGCCGCACTATATCTAAAGCGAGTTTTACAGAAAATTATACTAAAATAATTTATTTAAAGGATTAAAGGGCACCAAGGGTTGTTCGAAATTACATAAAAAATATTTACTTACAATTAGGTACCATATCTTTAATAACAAAAAATGTACCTACTACTCTAAAATAAATTATTTTATCTAAAACGAAGAAAAGGGCTCACTATTCACGACGGAGGACAGTAGTAAAGATAATCCGTTGCATGTAGTCGACCAGCAGGTCCCATCCCACATGTAGTACAAAACCGGTTGAAACCGATCATTTGAATTTCCCACACGAAAGAGTGAACCAATTGAAAGAGTTTTCTTTTCATGCATGTGCCAAATTCAAATTTACCTTCAAAAAGTAAACCAACACTGACACCATAGCAACATTATTTTAAAAATAAATTTGATGGCTCACTGAAGTGTTTTTTAAGCGTTCCGGTCTGCACTACGTGATGAGCCTGGCTTACACGAGAGAAAATTGTAGTGTTGAAGTTGAGTTCTCTTCAACCTTTCTGCAACTCTATAAGATTTGCTGTGTGTTACAGTGCCGAGTTTTATTTTAACCACTATCCAGTTTTTAGCGTCGCGTCGTTTTGAGTCATAATGGCCTAATGTCTACAAGCTGGAGACCTCGTAGGCAATGAAGAATTTTCCGCTTTTGCTACCACTTAATTCCCTCGTAAAAAGTGTTGGCCATAAATTGCGGTATATCAAAGAACTAGACCTTCTTATATTGAAGTCTTTTATAGTAGAGAATATAATAGAATTTCAACAAAATAAGTAACATGTTGATTATCTCTAAATTAAAATTATGCAATCTTGTGACATATTTGTGCGGTAAATTGTACTAACAAGGAACTTTTAAAATGTGAACAGACTTTAACAGAGCTTTTCTCCTTAAAATATATTCAAGAGGGCATAAAATGCATCCTCCTTTGCCGACTCAAATTTGAAAAAAATTCTAATTACGACTTCGTTTGTAATTAACACTAATGTGTTCTCTATTTTTAAAGATCTTCAAACATTACAGAAACATTCCCATAAAACAAATTGCTTTTGAAAATTTTAATACACGAAAAAATGAATTCTGCCTATTCAGATGACTCTTTTTTTTAATGTGCACTTTATGTTGAATCAAAACCTACACAAACTATATTTTGAGTATGCAAAGACATGCCTCCACAAAATGTTCCTCTTGCTGCTTATTCATAAACCAGCATAAAAAATAAAACAATTTTTATTGAAGTAAATATAGTGTCTAGACCACAAATTAGCTCCCTAGTAGGAAAAAAATAACATCACCACATAACCGTGATAGCAAGAATTTGATCAGTTTCCCGTCTTCACCTAGAGAACCCAGAAGTATAGAAAGATAACGAACACCACAATACATCCCGCTGCCGCTTTCACATACATCGACTTAGTATTGAGATAAGTTGCATCCTTCTTGTATTTTTGCGTTAGCATAGAGAGGTTCTGCGTTTTAGTGTCGAGCTCTAGAAAACAATGCGTTATTTCAAAATAATTAAAAAATTGAAACCATACCTGACAAAACTGTTCCTCGTTGCAATACATCATCAATGTTCTGCACCATAATCCTCTGAACATCCTGGAGCTGATTATTTATGGTGTTTAAATTGCGCCGCGACCTTGAGTCAGTGAATACTTTCTTGGCCTTCTGGATATATGTGTCGAACTCAATAAATGTATATGGTCTAGTAACTGTATTTACTCTTTTACCATGCTGAGAATGGAATTCTTGTGCGATGTCTTCCAGGTATGAGTACGCCAATCGCTTGGAGTAATTTTTCTCACATAATACTAAATAACAAACTTCGTACTCGATTAAATAACTGCAATTGGATATCGATATTGGGTAATTAAAGAAAATGGATTATCAATAACCTACTGGAACAAATATGGTCCGGTTTCTATTGTACACCTTGGAGGTGACTGCGGGCCTAATTTTCGGAAAAGCATTTTTGCCTGGTTCTGGTAGTCTAAGATGCTGCGACCTGACTGTAATCAAAAAAGCCTGGAATTAATTTGTTTGCAAAGGTGTAATTATTTGATTTATTACCTGTTCGTCTTCCTGCATTGTTGCAGCTAGTGGAAGCCCGTCAGCCACACGGGCTATCATCGTCATTAAGACCATTGTAGTTAATTAAATTATTAATTATAAGTAGCACTACTTATTTCCTTGCCGTATTGAATTTTTACGATGATTTAGGTTATTTACACGTCATGTTTCACGCGTCAATTTATGAAATAATGACAGTACAGATTTCTTTGTTACCGATTTGATAAGCCAAATGGCTTTTTGTGAGCAACCAACAATACATCCACGTAGAAAGAATATTCTTAAATTCCACACAAATTTCAACAATGTTATCTAAAGTGTGGTTGATTTGTGTTTATATTGTTAAAGATTATACTGCAAACATAGATTTACTTTATAATAATAAAAGCTATAACTGTAGGAAATGGCGTTAACTGATTAAACGTTCCTTTATTCGTGATTTATGATTGTTACCGAATTTTTAATCGAACGATTTTGGAGTCTGGGAGTAATCGTTATCGTGGTACACTTAGCATATTAAACGAAATTATACCTACTAATTGTACAACTGTTGTGAAATTTCTATTACTATTACCTCTCTTTTATGAAAAAAAAAGAAACTTATTTAAAAAAAGAACGATTACTATTCTCTAATGTTGCTCGTAAAAAGTTATTTTCAAGTTAATTAATGATATGGTGCTTATATGGTTAATAATTATTTTTGGTTATAATTATCAACATAAGTATAAAAACAACAATATAAAAAGTGGAACACATTTTTTGCATTTAAAACTTATTAGCAATGAAAATGTTTAATAAATTATGACCATAAAAATAAAAAAAAAACACACAATTTGATGTGTAATATGAGTATAATATAATATCTTAAAATTATTAAAGCTAAAGATATTAAATTCGTCAGTTAAGCACTTGAATATTTTGGAAGTGTATACCGGGTGTCCCAGCGTGCCTGTTCCACTCATACGAGTATATCTCAATTATTATTACAAAATATAAAAATTTGAACTTAGCCACGTTCAATATACGTAACACAATCTATTAAATGAGTAGACTATTGGCATTGCATTAGCTTCAGTTTCACCGCAAATGACATGGACTTTTTGTTTAATCTAAAAGAGTACAGATTGTAGTACTATAAAAAAGAGCATTTTTTTTTATTTTCAATGATATATGACTCGGTATCACTGATTGGAACAATTCCTTTCTGCACTTCGAAAAAATTGATGAAAACACAATTTTAGATATTTGTTGTATTGTATGTGTCAAAAGAGTCAAGAAAAAACGTGTTAAAATGAAAAAGAGCAGCGAGTGATTTATTTTACTAACGCATTTGTTACATAATTACATCAGTAGATAAATAAAATAAAACAAATACATACTTCACGCAAGAGGACTATATTCATAATTTAAATTTAATAATAAGTGACATTCAAAATTTTCGTCAGCTAAGGCATGACGTTTTGTCCTAAAAACATCCTCGATAACACTAAACATCCTTTCCACTACGGTGTTAGATGGAATTATTGTGTGGCAACATGTTACATATTTTACCAAAAATTGAAGAGCCGATTCTTTTGCGCCTCATTTCATTCCACTATAGCTACAAATAAAAGTTCGATGCCAACTGCAACAACTTTTAAATAAAAAATATCTTATTGGCTACGTGTAAATGTATCGCAAATATTAGTCCACCGATAATTACCTGCGGACGCATATCTTTTCATCTTTAAAAAAAAGGATGTTCTTAAATACTTAAAAGATAATCTAAACTTAAACTTCCTGTGTTATTAGAAGATGTTCCACTCGTCGTGAGAGAAAGAATGTATTTCCAACAAAATGGTGCACCACCTTAGATCATATAACAAATAGATACCACCATGCCGTGTTCTTTCCCTAGGACAGCCTGTGACGACATCCTCCTGTCACACATCTCTCTCGTGCATGGAGGGATTATAATGAAGCTATCCTTGCCTGATCACTATTTGAATTTTGCGCGCCTAAATTTTAGGAAGTGTGTCTGAACTAACTTCGGAAGAAAGATGTTGACAGCTTGATTTTATAAATAATTCACAGTAGATAACGAAAGGAATAGTAAATTATTGGGCAGCAATTGTGATCCTTTATGACTACATCACTTAAAATAGCTTTGTTCTAAATTCTAAAATTGTTTTTTGTACAACAACTCGAAAGATAGGTTAGAAGAAACATCTGTCAAAAGCGATTTGTTGCGCTGGTGCGGTACAAGGATGGAAGTGAAATAGACATATACAGATGAAATGCATATAACAAAGATGAAGATGTGGTGATCACACAAGGATAGCATTATACTACTCCCCTTGACGTAGAAAACGACAACAGATAGCTTCATGTCTAGTCACAGCTTTCAGTTTGAGTATTGGTATCTATTTATTATATGATCTAAGTACACCACCACATAACGCGCGAGTAATAACAGATAATTTGAATGATACATTTCCTCATAGATAGATTGGCAAAAATAGAGCAATTAGGTGGCTTGACAGATCTCCAGATATAACACCTCTCGATTTTTTTTGTGGGGCTATTTAAAAGCTAGGGTGTATCAGCAATCTCTAAGAGACTTAGAAAACCTTAAGCAAAAAATTAAAGTAGAATGTGACAGGATTGATAAAGAAATGTTAAAAGTAATAACAAGTAGGGGTCTACTTCATCGAGCAGAATGTTGTTTATAGGCGGAAGGTTGTCAATTTGAACATTTAATTTAAAGTTATTGTTTTTGTATAGTTTTATTTTGCTTTAAACTTTGATTTTATTAAAATACTTTTAGTTGGATATGATTGTTTTAAATTTCTTTTTTTTTATCTTAAGGACGTTTTAAAACATTCACTTAAATATCATCGCATCATGTGATATATCGATGAAAAAATAAAGAAGGGCACTACTTAATGTATTGAAAAAGTATCCCTTTTTGTATTAAAAAAATAAGAAAATTGATGTTGTTGCTGGCGAAACAAACTAATACGACGCTAGTAATTTATCCATTTAATAAGACTGTGTTAGATATATTGACCATGCCAAATTTCAATTTTTTGTTTTAAAATAATAACTGAGATATTATTGAGTGGAACAGGTAGGTACGCTGGGACACCCGGTATAAATATGTACAAGGTGAGTCGCTAAGCGCGCAGTCCTCCATATGTCATTAATTACTAGAAATAACAAAAAGTCAGAGACCAAAGTTGAACGGTTCTTTGACGACTATACTTTAAAATTATTTTTAACTTTACAGAATGTTCTGCATAAGGTGTAACACATAACTTAGTTTTTTTTAAACAAAACAGCCTCTATATGTTTTTACATATTTTGATTGACTTGTTCTTAGGCTTTATAACCACCGATTACTTTTGAAATTTCGATGCGACGTTGCCACCTTTTCCAATTTGAAATCTTGTGGAAAGAAAAATAAAAGTACGCGCTTTGTTGTGGTATCAACTAAATAATATTTTAGTATACAAAATGTTTATCCAAAAATCTAAAAATTTACAATTTTCAAAGATCGATATTTCAGTTCTTTCAGATGAAACACCCTATATTTTACTGTTGTAATGATTGTATCTTACTCTATTTTTATCCTCATTATTCTAATATGTCGATGCATCTCTCAAAAAATTTGGTCGAAAATTGTTTCGACAGAACTTCCCTGGCACCTAGAGTACAGTGAAACATATCCAGGATTTTCGAGTTGAGTTTAAAAAATAAAAAATTGCAGTAACTATTAACTTTAATACAAAAAATTCAGTAAAAAAGAAAGAAAACAAAAAATAGAATCAAATGTAATTAGTAATAAAATAGGACATGTATAATTAAAACATTTTTAAAACCACCCTGCTCATAAAAATTTAATCTTATTTATGCCACAACAAAATAGGTATTTTTTTTAACTCTCCACAAAATATTATAAGGCAGATTTTAAAAATAACCCTACTGGAATGTTTTTGTTACCCTTTTCTATTGCTAAAAAATTTCATGAAAATTGAAATAACGTGGCAAGCTGGATTCGTAATTTGAAAAATAAACTGTAAATCCTAAGAACAAGTCAATCAAACTCTGTAAAATATATAGGCTATTTCACTAAAAAAAAATAAGTTTTTTGTTACCCTCTAAGAACGGAACATTCTGCGCAAAAATTATTTTAGAATATAGTCCTCAAAGAACCGTACAACTTTGATTTTTGACTTTTGTTCTATTTTTAATAATTAATGAGATATTGAGGAACGCGCGCTTAGTCACTCACGCTGTATATGCATATGAAACAATTTTTGAGATCGTCGTGTATCATTACAAAAGGTGACACATTTGTGGGCAAAAATTGCATTTAACTTCGGTGTGTTAAAGAAACCCATTCATATCATGTCTTCGTTTCTGTTTGTGGATGACAGAAACATAATAATAGCTCATTCACACCGTTTCTAAGTTTAATAAAAGATGATTTGTTGTGTTGATTTGCGAAACAATGCCTAAATATTGATCTTTCGAGCGCGGAGTATTCTCTATTAAAATTCCTAGAAACATCGTTATAGGAGTATTTTTTTGCTATTATTCAACTTTATTCGGTGTTTATGTTAAATGTTCTTTGAAGATTTTAAAGACTAATTTTTTCATTATTCATATATAAATTATTGCCATTAATATATATTTATTAAAGTTCTCTGGTTTCTTCCAATTTAGAAACCTATCCTTAATTTCAGATTGTGTCACATATGACCATTAAGATTATAAATAAATTTTAAGATATCAAATACGTATAACGTATAATTACAAAATTTCGGGTGACTATTTATGGTTGAACAAATTTTGTTGGTGTATTGTAATCGAGTCCATCGGATGACTGGCTACTTTTATGTTCTTTCGACGTTTCATGACCTCTAGAACACGAAAACCTAGGTCTCTCTTTTCCGCCTGTCTGTCTGTCGTCTGCCGTTTGTTTGCGTTTGTGTAAATTTTTATCAGACAGATAAGATATTTAAAATTTACGGACAGATTGTTACCAAATTTTGTATGTATATTAAGTATATCGTGTACATGGTAAAATTCTAACCAAAATTTGTCTGATCATTCCCTCGAATCATGATATGACGTCGTCTCCAACTTTTACAATAGTAAATGTTATTTAAATTTTATAAAATAACATACTGCTCCACTTGTAGTTTATGAATCCGTATTGAGTTTTTACCGTAGGCCAGTAAATTTTGGTAAAAAAATGTAACATATATATTGCCAGTTTAAACATTTCAAGTGGATTTACTTTACAAAATTTTGAGATTAAAGTTATGGAACAGAAAAATTCTGATTCTGATAGAATGAGTTGCTAAAATTTAGTAAAATTTAGTTGTACAATTTTTATTTTTTTTTCCAAAATCTGCATTTGTTACTGAGTAGAATCAATAAAATTTTTGAAAGGTCCTCTCCACTATAAAACAAATTTATTGATTAAATAATAGTTCATGCTCAGCAGACGTTCAGCGATTTCTTACAACCTACCTAAAATATTTACCCGTGCAACCTTGTACATCTAAAAACGTAAAAAAGGGTCTTAAAGTGCGTTATATTGAAACTGTCTCTAAATCACAATCACAAATAATTCTTTTACTAATCGTGCTTCAGAATGAATAAATGAGTACATTTTTTTAATTTGTAATTTTATATAGTTCGTTAGCTTTATTTCATCTTCTGATTAATGTTTTTTTTTCTTTCAGAACCATGAACATTTCAAAATAAAACCACTTATATTTTAAAATATTGAATTGAACAAAAAAATCACACAAGAGTATATTAGAGCAATTTATATTAAAATGTATTCAAAGTTTTAAAATCAAATTATCAAAGAGAAAGAAAATCTATGGATTTATAAATAAAATCATTCTGAATACAATGGACGTCCTCTTATTTTTTTTATTTTATTGTAGTCTTAATAAAAATAATAAAACTAGTAACAAGTTTTTTTAACATCGGAGGCGCATTGTTTGAGATTTATCCAGCAACATTAAAATTCTTCGCAAAAACCATAATTTCCCACTTGCCATTATTGAATAATTGTCTTTCGCCACCTCAAAAAATGATTCACTTCCTTACCCTGCTACACAATTACGGTTATACACAACGACAATTCTCCAATTTATTTATAAGACTAGATCGTTTCAAAAGAATAATTAAGGCTAGCATTAACGCAACCTCTCTACCATTCCGACTCAATACCTACTCTCGATCGCTGCTTCTAACAGACAAATAATGAAGTACTTCCTGCTCTTTTTTGCTGTAGCAATACATATTTCTGGTAAGTTCGCAATATTTATTTTTACGATATTTATTTTGGTAAATTCAGGTGGCTGGTCAGAGAGCGGCCTCAATCTAACGGCCCAAATAACAAGAGCCAGAAACGCTTACTTGGACTTGATGAAGGAGAAATGTTATCAGAACTCAACAGAAGAATATCAGCGATTTGCAGTACAAAATTTAGCATTTAATGAAGTTTCTTTTAACTTTTATTGACCTTTCTAGGAACTTATGGACAACGCTACAAAATGTATTCACGCAACCGCAGGGCCCATGGTTGCTACGCCTCTAAAAACCTTAAAGGATAATATTCAGAGCTGTGTGAACGAATTCATCGAAGAACTGGAGGAATGTCTTCCTGAAGACGCGAAAGACTGGCCGCAACTTTCCTTCGATACTATGTACTCACTGCTAGATTTCATGTACGAGAATAAGGAGGAAATTTTTTGTTAGTATTGCTTCTTTCGTTGCGGTTTGTTTATTTAAAATTTCCAGCACCTAAAGTACGAACTTACCTCCAAAAGTGTGGCGAAGACTTTCAGAAAGACGGCGTTCCGCCTGAACTTGCAAAATGCATGAATTTTTCGACTGCCTTAGATGTGAAGACTTCCTGTCAGTAAGTACTAAAAAAATGGGGGATTATTTTTTTTCGAAATATTTTTGTAGAGAATTGCGTGACATGGAGAAATGTTTTATGGAACCTGTGAACAAGAGATGTCCAGGGGATGAATCTATCGAAAAACTGAAAATGGGATTTTTGGAAGCTTTGAAAGAACCTTGTGCTGAGTACGACGTGACTGAGAATCCTGTGGACAATGTTTTCACTTTATTAGCTCCTTATGCACCACCCAATATGAATCCAGACCTTATGTAAAACATTGTAAAAAAAATGTATATTATTAGATTTGATACCTATGTAATAAAATTTTTAAAAATTGCGTGACCTTGTTTAAAATAATATGATTTTCTAAGCGTTGTTTTGTATTGATGATTGTAGTTATTTCAAATTTACTTCGAAAACATTCAGAAAGAGATATTTTTATGAGGACCGAGAGGTTAAACAGTATCGTCCACGAATACCAGTTACTGGCCGGGCGGCGTTCGCTAAAGAAAAGACTGGAAGCGGAAGTCGCGATGGGTATTCTAGAAAGACCTCGATCACGGAACCTCTAGAAGGAAGGTTTAAATAGAGGCCACTTTCGGGAACGAACATTATTCAGTCGAGTCGAGCCCAGCGAATGTTAAAAGCCAGTCAAGTTGCGCCGGAATTATTTTGTACATAATCGCTGTGCAATTAGTCGTGTAAATTTGAGTTTCCAAGAAATAAATTATTGAGTGTGACCCACGCCGATTTTTAAATACCCGTTCAACGTAACACTGGTGTCAGGAGTGAGGTTCAAGATTAATAAATTGACTTTACGGAATATCTACGGGCAGTTTCGACAAGAATTCTGAAGATTGATGCATGTTGAGATTAGAACTCAAGCTGCAAAAATGGAGGAACAAGTAAAGCAGATGATGGCTATGCACGCACATCAGATGGACGCAAGAAATAGAGAAATGAAAGAAGAAATGGGCGCAAGAATGGAAAAAATGGACGCAAGAAACAAGAAAATGAACGAGAAAATGGACGCAAGAAACAAAAAAATGGTCAAGAACATGGATACAAGGAACAGAGAAATGGACAAAAAAATAAACACAAGAATGGAAAGAATGGGTTCAAGAATGGAAAAGATAGACGAAAAAATAGATAAGCAGATCAGCCTAACTGAAAAATTCCAAAAGGAAGTGGAAACAAACAGAAATGAAATAACAGGAATTAAAGAACAAATGAAGGATTATGGAAAACAAAGTTGAAGATTATGCAAAATCTTGTCGGAAAAAATGTGGTCTTGATGGATCGAAAACTAAGAGAGCTGAGTGAGTTCGACAAATTAGTACAGGAATGTATGGAAGATCGAGTGAAAATTCTAGAAGATAGAATAGAGATTAAAATGAAGAAATTCGAAAAGTTAATGAAAAATGCAGCAACAACTAGCTCATGTAATGTGATATCGGCCCACATTACCCACCTATGATGGTCAGACGCCGTGGTCATCATACAAGAGACACGTCGAAGCACCAGCGATGGCAAATCTCTGGGAAGAAGAGCAGAAAGCGACAGGGTTGGTAATAGCTTTACGAGGCGCAACGATGGACATACTTCAAACTTTATCTGAAGAAGTTAGAAACAGATACAAAGCCCTAACTGCTGCCCTAGAACTTCAATTTGGGGATGAACATCTGAAACAGATTTTTGCAGCCCCAGTCCAAACAAGAATGCAGAAAGCAGGGAATCTTTACAAAAATTTGACACAGATGTCAAGAGACTGGTAGGTCTTGCATATTCCGATGCACCACCATCTTTTCAAGAGAGACCTGCGACAAAAACCTTTGTAAATGGGATTCACGACATTGAAGTTAAGAAAATTCTACAAGTATCAAAGTATCAAACATCATCTGACGCCCCGATTCGTGCGCTGGAAGTGGAGGTAGCATACAATTCTTGAAGAACGTGCCACAAAGTCAGAGTGGCAGAATTACAGACCGAAAAAAACGACAAGTTAGAATATCTGTTGGAAAAATTCTCACAGCAAATAATAAATTGCCTAGTTCAAGGACGAGAGAACGGTACGCCGCCTAAGAAAAACATGGAGCGTTATATTTGTGGGTGCCAAGGAGCCAAGGACATCTCAAACGCGATTGTTGTGCCCGATCACCAGCTCCAAGGAGACGTTCACAACAGAGATCTCCTCAACGTAATGTACAGGAAAACTAAAAATAGCCAGTATAAATGAAGAATGGAGTACAGCCCAACTTAAAAAAGACCAAGAAGAGGAGGTAGATATCGGGCCGGGTTACTGAAGTCCTAGGGATACGGAAGACACGGCCTACGCCGTTACACCCACAGCCAGATGGAATGGTAGAACGGTTCAATCGTGCCGTGGACGAACATCTTTCGAAGGTGGTGCCCGAACAACAGAATGATGGGGATCGACACCTTCCATTGTTCCTACTGGTTTAAATTAAATTCCGGGATTCGGTCTCGTCTCGTCTCGTCGAGATTTAATGGGTCTCGATATCGGGCTCGTCAAATCTCGAAACGTAGATATCGGTCTCGATTTTCGAGAGTCTCGATTATTATAGTCTCGGTATCGTCTCGCGAGAGTCTCGAAAGTCTCGAAAGTCTCGCTACAGTCTTTATTTCCTAGAATTGTTTTCCTACATCCACTGGGGTCAAGAACTTTCTGAGAATTAAGAAAACCAGTTCAATTTCTAATGATTTGTCGAGCATTGTAATATTATTCGCATTCGAGTGTAAGTACGCTGACGTGCCAGACTGAGATATTATTGAGAAAGAATTGAAAAAAATTTAGTAGGCTTTACCTTGAACAAGGATCTTTAAGATGCAGTCAAAGAAAACAAATTATAATGAATCTGTACATCTTAATAACGCGATTGATAGTGACAGTGAACCTTCGACTGCAAGCACAGAAAAAAAACGAACTGTCAAAGATTTTTTTCATTTTGAAATGGAAAATAATTTTAAAATAGGTGTTTGTAAATTGTGTTCGACAAGAAAATGTATAAAAATGAAGGATTCCAACACAAGTGGATTAAAAAAACATTTAAAGTCAATACATCGAAACTCATATGAAGAAATATTTAGGGTTAATGTTAATGTCGCAGAGAAGGGGCAACTGAAATTGGAGGATGCATTTAAGTCTACTTCAAAGGTAAATACAGGTACAATATAGGTTTTTGTGTGAATGTGAATGTTATTTTTTTCTCACTTCTCGAATATATAATTAACAGGGGGATTTACCAAAGTTTGAAACGGCCGGTGCCGACGCAGTGAGTTCGAATTTATCCTTTTTCAGTCACGTTTTGTGATAATTAAAGCTGAATCTTTTGCGAAAAAATCATTAGTTCCAATTTAAAAAACAAATTATAAAATTATTAGCTACTCTTTGGGGGCTCGACTCTTTTTAAAAAAAGGTCCTACTGTGGAACTATAATTGGATATTAAAATCCAATTTTGGGTTGTTTTATGATTTTTTTTAGCAAAACTTAATGCCTCTGCCTCTGACGACAATTAAATTTTTTTAGAAGTTGTGTAAAACAATAGTCTTTCATTGTCACAAAATGTGACTGTAAAACAAAAAATCAGAACTAACTGCATTGGTTGCTTCAAAGCTCCGTGCTCTGAAAATCTCTCAAAATCTTAAATAAAAAGAAAAGATTTTACATATTTCATATAATAATACTCGTAATAACGTAATCACATGTTTTTAAGTAATAAGTTCTGATTACTAACCTATATAAATACAACTACGATTTTTTTGCTTTTCAGCATCTGGTGAAAACAGCCGATGCAACAGACATTTTTGTTAAAGAAACAGTTATATGGACATCAAGAAAAAGTTTGCCGTATAACTTTTTTGATGACGAAGCTACACAGAATTATTTCAAATTAATTTCTCCAAATCTATCAATGCCAAAAAAAGACAAACTACGTTGTACAACTCTCAAATATTTCGAACAAATGCGTGAAAATGTAAAACAACTTTTACTTGACACTAGCAGTAAAATTTCTTTTACTGTAGACGGTTGGACGTCTGTTAACAGAAAATCTTATTATGGAATAACAGCACATTACATAGATGACAACTGGAAATTATGTTCTCTAACTTTAGATTTTTTACCATCTGATGGAAAACATTTAGCCTGGTCGTTTTGGTGAGCTCTTTCCATTTATTGTTAACTTTTAGGATATTTACTTATTTTGTTTACAATAAAGGGAATTTTCTCAACCTGCACGGGGTCAGGTCTCCCCTGTGGGATAATTTCATATAATATCAGCAGCAGTCTAGAATAGTTAAAGTATTTTATCGCTTAGCTTTTTCTGTTTACTGCGATAAGCCACTTCTATTTAAAATGACTGGCGATTCGCTAGTATTTCCCACAAAAGAACAAGCGATAGTTTGTAACGCTATTGCGGACTTAACATTAACTGATTATGCAAAAGCTATAGGTAGGATTGTCTCGCCAAAGAACGTCATCTACGCTTTCAAACTCTCAAAAGAACGTATTTGCATATACCTTAGTGCCACATTCTGGGTAGATGAAGTGGTGTCAAACCATTCATCAATAAGCATAAAGGATAAAGGGATCTGCGTACGTCGTTTAATTAACCCAGCGCGTCGTATCATTCTCTCAAATGTTTGTCCTTCAATTCCTAATAGAGTCTTGGAAAACCAGATCAAAGCTTTCGGCTTCACGACGTTATCCCAAATGACGGTCATGGAAGCTGCTATTCTAGATGATGAAGACAAAGAGTACAGTCATGTATTGAGTTCTAGAAGACAGATATATGTCCAACCATCTGACACGGTTGAGTTACCCTCCTCACTAGTACTTAAATTCGAGAACACCAATTATCGAATTTTCTTTATATACGATTACATTTGCTTTAAATGTAAATTAACTGGACACCACGCGAACGAGTGCCCTAATTTAACTGTTGAAGCTACTCCAAATCCACTCTCCGCCCCAACCCTGGTGGCCTTGACAACGACTGATCTGCACTCTTTTAATGCTCCTGCTAGCAGCAACAAGCGCCCTCCCACTGATGATGTCGATGAAGAAACCTCAGAACCCAACTCTCTTGATCTTTCTCTTGACGGAAAGTCAAAAAAGCTAAAGGCAAGTGATTCCACTGAAAGTTTGACCCCTATGTCTGACCTTTTATTGCCTGCAAGAGAACTAATCACCGAGAAACACGATACTTTTCCCCTTGACTTCAACCAAACGGTCGAGTTTATGGGGAAAGCGCATGGCGAAAAGGATATTTTACCCCTAATATATAAGTACACTGATGACGCAGAAGGTATTGTCA